TCAGATTCAGGAGGGATATAGGAAAGTACTGGTTTGGTAATAGAGTTGTGGATGAGTGGAACAAACTCCCAAGTACCGTTATAGAGGCCAGAACGTTGTGTAGCTTTAAAAATAGGTTGGATAAATACATGAGTAGATGTGGGTGGGTGTGAGTTGGACCTGATAGCTTGTGCTAACGGGTCGGTTGCCGTGTTCCTCCCTTGAGTCAATGTGACCTGACCTGACTAGGTTGGGTGCATTGGCTTAAGCCGGTAGGGACTTGGACCTGCCTCGCATGGGCCGGTAGGCCTTCTGCAGTGTTCCTTCGTTCTTATGTTCTTATGTTCTTATGGGAATCTTTATTCAGGAAACGTTTCGCCACACAGTGGCTTCATCAGTCCAATACAAAGAGGAAGGCGTAAGGAGAGGAGGAGAATGAGGTAATCAGTCCCTCAACCTGGAGTCGATGTGTTCAGTCCATCAATCTTGTAGAATGTACAGCATAGGGCCGTAGACGTGGCTTATATACTGTAGTGAGGTGACGTGAAGCAGATGGAGGCGGGGTCATAGTGGTACCATCCACTAGTCGAAGTAGGTCTTCGTCCAAAGGTTGAACAAGTGTTGAAGATTTCTTTGTAACAAGATCCCATGATGCTGCAGTGTCTGACAGTTGTGATGAATGGTTTGAAAAACCGACAAGTTGAAGATTGAGACACTTATGCAGCATATGGGAATCTTTATTCAGGAAACGTTTCGCCACACAGTGGCTTCATCAGTCCAATACAAAGAGGAAGGCGTAAGGAATTCTTCAACACTTGTTCAACCTTTGGACGAAGACCTACTTCGACTAGTGGATGGTACCACTATGACCCCGCCTCCATCTGCTTCACGTCACCTCACTACAGTATATAAGCCACGTCTACGGCCCTATGCTGTACATTCTACAAGATTGATGGACTGAACACATCGACTCCAGGTTGAGGGACTGATTACCTCATTCTCCTCCTCTCCTTACGCCTTCCTCTTTGTATTGGACTGATGAAGCCACTGTGTGGCGAAACGTTTCCTGAATAAAGATTCCCATATGCTGCATAAGTGTCTCAATCTTCAACTTGTCGGTTTTTCAAACCATTCATCACGATAATATGTATATGGATTTCAGGAGACTGTTGAAGAAATTAACTCCTGGACTGAGGCATGGTTAATCAATAGACAAGATGAAAAACTGGAGGCATCTGGAACATCTGGGTATCTTTATTTGCAGTCGTTTCGCCAAACAGTGACCTTAGCACTACAATACAAAGACATAATATGAAGACTGTAGAATTACATACCTGACGCCGGTACGTAAGTGCCAAGCTTCATGCTTGTTCTTCAGAGTCTTCAAGACTATAGTGCTCTTCACCAGCTCCAAGGCTGATGGACTGATTACCTCATCTTTTGTATATAATTCTACATTCTTCACGTTATGTCCGCGTACTGTACTGAGAAAGCCACTGGTTGGCGAAATGTCTGCGAATAAAGATACCTAGGTGTTGCACATGTGTCTAATTCTTCATCGTACACTACTTAGTTGAGGGAATAAATATCGATATAAACAAGTTTACTGGTGACTAAAATAAGCCGTCAAATAAATTCTAATGAGGACACAAAAGAACTACAGAATGACCGAGGTTTATGTTGTGGTCGGAGAAAGGGTAGATGCAGTCTACCTTGGAAAAAGAAATTAACTAGGCATCTATAAACTAAACAATGTAGATGACTTAAGAAATCGTAATGACACGATTGCAAATAAACCATACCCCCGGCCGGGATTGAACCCGGCGGGGGTTTTGAGACTCTATGACCGCGGGTTCAATCCCGGCCGGGGGTATGGTAAACAATGTAGATCTCAAACTTTGCAAAAACTATTTAGTTCTGATTAACAGTAATCTAAAACCAAGATAATGCTGCATAAGTGTTCGCAATGAACTTAATAGAATTCTTGGCCACATATCATGAAGTATAAATGTGAATATATAACAATGGTATATAATACCAACAAGTATAAATTATAGGAGTCTTGAGATTATGCTTCAATTGTATGTATCCTTGGTAATAGCTTTTTAAGATTATGCTGCACAGTTCTGGAAAATATACAGAGAAGGATGACAAAGGTAAAAGGACACAAGTGCAACTAATGCGACATTTTATCGTGACAACGTTTCGCTCCCCAGGAGCTTAGTCGAAGCTCCTGGAGAACGAAACGTTGCCACAATAAAATGTCGAATTAGTTTCACTTGTGTCCTTTTACCTAACATATTGCTGGTGATTCTACCAACATTATAAGGATAGCGAAGCTGATCCCATGTATCAAAAATCTCTCGTACGAGTACAGACTGGGGGCACTGAATCTGCATTCTCTGGAATGCAGATTCCTTAGGGAATGATGCGACTGAAAATATTCAGATGGAAGACAGGAATAAAGGGAATATGATAACGTGCTGAAAATAACTGACCAAGACAGGACTCGCACTAATGGGTTCTGGTTAGAAAAATTTAGATGTAGAAACAGGAAAACACTGTTTTAGCAAGAGTTGTGGATGAGAAACAAACTACCAAGTAGCATCATTGAAGCGAGAACCTTGGGTGGATTTAAAAATAAGTTGGTTGGACAAGTACATCAGTGGGTGCGAGTTGAACTTGCCAAGCATGAGCCAGGATGTCTGTTGCAGTGCTCTTCGTTTTTAATTTTATGTTGTTAGGTAAGACACATATGCAACAGTTAGGTATCTTATTTCGAAACGTTTCGCCTACACAGTAGGCTTCTTCAGTCGAGTACAGAAAAGTTGATAGAAGCAGAAGTATCTTCTGCTTCTATCAACTTTTCTGTACTCGACTGAAGAAGCCTACTGTGTAGGCGAAACGTTTCGAAATAAGATACCTAACTGTTGCATATGTGTCTTACCTAACAACCTGTCGGTATTTTATACCATTTTATTATTTAATTTTATGTTCTTTTTCCTGTGTACTGGATAGACCATCCTGAGAGACGGTAATTTCCAAGTAATGATAACTCCAGTTCAGCTTGAACGAGACCTCTGAACCTGCCTTAGCTGGTGAACCTTAATTGTAATGCTTGACGATATCTTCATTTCCTTACCGAAGTCTCCCAGCTCAGGCTGGCACATTTCAACAGTCATATATTAAGTAAAAGGACACAAGTGTAACTAATGTGGCATTTTGTTGTGGCAACGTTTAGCTCTCTAGGAGAGCGAAACGTTGCCACAATAAAACGTCATATTAGTTGCACTTGTGTCCTTTTACTTAACATAATGGCGGTAATTCTGCCAACGTTAATAGCCCTGGTAGATCCCTGGTTGTCTTCAAGTGGGAGCTGAACAGATACCTAAAAACGGTGCCGGATCAGCCAGCAGTAACACCCTCGTTGATCAGGCCCTGATCCACCGTGAGGCCTGGTCATGGACCTGGCCGCGGGGGCGTTGATCCCCGGAATACCCTCCAGGTAGACAACAGTCATATAGAACAAAGGGAACAGTACATTGCGGATTCATCAAATTTTGTTAGCAAAAAAAATCCTCCCTCGCACACTAACTTCGCTCCCACACCTAACTTCCTTCCTATACTCTCTCCTTCCCTCTCAAACTCTCTCCCACAACTTCCTTCCTGTGCTCTCCCTTTCCCTCCCACACTGCAGCAGCACACTACTGACATACCTGCTTATGCTAAAGAAAAATAATCCCACATTGCTCATGTCTCCGACTTTGCTAAATATTAATAAAAAATCCCTCACCCCCAGGTCGGTGGTGATTTCCTGTGCTCATCTCGCTGCCTTGGTCTTGTGTTCTCACCTACTGTGTGTGTGTGTTCTCAACCAATGTGTGTGTGTGTTCTCAACCAATGTGTGTGTGTACTCACCTAGTTGTAGTTGCTGGGGTCGATTCACAGCTCCTTGCCCCGTGTGTGCGTATACTCAACTATTTGTGGTTGCAGGCACAGCTCCTGGCCTCGTGTGTGTGTGTGTGTGTGTGTGTGTGTGTGTGTGTGTGTGTGTGTGTGTGTGTGTGTGTGTACTCACCTATTTGTGGTTGCAGGGGCCGAGTGTACGTGTGCATGCGTACGTCGTGTGCGTGTATGCTTGTGAAGAGAGGCTTTAAAATACGGCAAAATGTGGAAGTGATTGTAAATTGTATGAAAGTGATTGCAAAGAGTGTAAGTAGTTCCACAGTGTATAAAGATTTTTAAAATGTATATAAATACTTTTCAAATGCGCGAAAAGAGGCTTTTAAAGTGCATGCAAGTGATTTTAAAGGGCAAGTTTTTGAAGTGTGTGTTTCCAACGTGTCAACGTGTGTGTGCATGCTTGTAGTGTGTATAAGTACTTGCAAAGTGGGTACCAGTGCATTCAAGTGTTCGGAGTAAAGCACAGCTGAATATGTAAGTGCTGTATATATTATATAAACACCGTATTCCTATTTCTATAATTGCGACGCCATAGATCAATACAATCACGTTATATACCTCCCCTCACCGATTGGTTTCAATTAATAATGTAATAGCTTGCTGTGTGTTTAGTCTATCTAATCTTATTGATTAAGTCGAGATCTTTATATATCGTCACTCTAAATGCTTCTTAGGGAGGCAAGGAATCGAACAGTGGTGACGTCATAATGGGACGCACGCTGTGACCCGGTGCGAGGCTAGGATGAGTAACTTCCTGACGCATTTGTAGCAACTTTCTTAAAATGCTCTGTACTCATCATATTTACACTTTATTCGATCGCACGCGTCAGGTACTTCATTTCTGGTACATGGGATACGTATAGACGTATGCCAAGCACGTGCGTTGGGTGTTATAAATAAAATGTACGCAGATGGTGAAATCCTTGGTTCTTAGGAGAAAAATGCATTCGTGGTGAGTCTCTGACAACTACGGTCGAAAACTGCCTCTTCGTCACCAAGTCGCCGCCTCTGTGCAGTGAATGAATCCCGAGGTCGCGTCAGGCAACTTTGATCTCTAACGGGACCTAATTCACGGCCACGCGGGATAGTGAGCGCATGCGCAGTATGAGCAGCGCTAAAATTCAAACCTCCCACCATACGCGCTGATTGGTCCAGATCTGTGGCATGACGTCACAATGCCGAAGGTATATATATGCCTACTTTCACCGCGGGACGCTAGAAGCAGCCCAGATACAATACTGACAACATCTCTTCAGGAGGAAACGTTATTACGGAAGAGTTGTGCTGATAGTACCCAACGTTATTTAATAGTGTTTGTTGGCAGCACATAATGGCGTGTGATTCACGTGCTGGTTTGGAGGCCCAGAAGCTTATCAGCATCTCTCTTGGGAAGATGGCAGCTTCACGTGTAGGTCGGACTGGTGCCTCTCTACACAAGTCTCTGCTGGTGGCATCAGTGTTGCACCGTGCCCGCCACGTCTTCCTGGAGGAGAGCTACCACGTTCACCGTGCAACCCACCCTGAAGCTTACGCCCATCCAACCGCAGCTCCCCCTACACCCGTCATAACAGTATATGCACCTTTACTCTCTCCGGCGCCGACACCCGTCCCACCCACAGAGGATGACAGCGATGTTGAGGACAAGGAGAACCGAGTGTGCGATAAACAGGAGCAACAGCAGACTGAAGGAGGAAGAGCCCCGTTGAGTGATAGTAATAACCGCGTGATAGCCCTTAAGAGACGTCGTTGTGTAAGCCAGCAGGAAACTCAGGAGGCTGTGTGGTCCATCTTACCAAAGCGGCCTCGTACTGCCTCCATTACAGAGTCCCGTACCTCTGAATCCGCCCAGGACCCCAGCCTCGACCAGGACAGCGACTCCTGCGGCGGCGGCAGCAGCAGCAGCAGCATGGAGGTGGAACACATTACCTCCCTAGTCTCTATCTTCAGCTTCGGTGGCCAGCGTGTGGACCTTTGTGGTGCCCAGGCAGCAAGAGAGGATCTGGCCCAGTACCAACCAGTGGCACTAGCCGTGTGAGGGACTAGCCAGCACCCCCCGTGTTACCTCTTGTACCTGACGAGGCTCTGGGCCTACGCCTGCTAGTCAACTACCCAGGCAAGCCTTCTCCCGTACGCCACTCCAGGACGACCATCGAGGACTACCCACGCCCGTGGACGACCGTTGAGGACCACCCACGCCCGTGGACCGTTGAGGACTACCCACGCCTGTGAACGACTGCATCCCATGACTTAGCAATTACTTCGTTAGGGACGTCCGTTTAACAACGTTTTTAAGAGTCGTGCAGTGTTAGGAGCCTGGGTAGTGTTAAATCTCGAGTCTTTACCCGAGTGCTGGTGTGTAGTGGTAGTAGGGAGTCCTGTGGAGTTATGCCAGGGAGTATTCTAGGGAAGTAGTGGAGGATTACTCTAGTGTGGAGTGGTGGTAGTGTTGGGAGGAGGTGCCGGGACTTATTTGTGTTGCTCGCCATGACAGCGGCTACACCTCCATGTGATAATTGTACATAAGTGTACAAAATAGATGATTATATTTATCATTGGCTTTCTGCGCCAGTGTATTTTATAAAATATATATATTTTATATACTCATGTTGAAAATATTAAATAAAATGTCAAAAGTTTACTTATTCTTTGTTTTTACCTCAAGAAGTGAGTTGCCTGAACTAGGATGCAGCCACAGTGATCACTTTGAAGCAATTATTTAAAAAAGTGCATTTATTAATAACTAGCACTTAAGTGGGAGCATCCTAGTTTAGTGAAGCAGACAAGTCGGTGACAAGACGAAGGAAGATGAGGTTACTGAGGCTGTGGTAAGTGAGGGATGACGTGGCATGTCACTAATTTTGTTCAGACAAGATTAATTTTTTTTAATTGGCTACAGGTTAAGAATTATAATTTAACCCGCACGTATTTTTTTTAGCTTACTGTGAATATATATGACCCTGGTATTTAAGACGATACATAAAAACTAGTCTTGCAGTAGGCCTATTGGCTTATACCTGTCGCCCAGGTGTTGCACATCAAGCTGGTTAACAGTTTGCTACTAATACTAAGCAGTTCTTACTCAGCAATTCTCACTGTCTTAATATTTTAATAGAAAGTTCTTCCATGAATAGTACTGGACCTAGAACTTGCCAAACCCTTCAAGGGAAATGATGCTGGTGAAGGGCTCTTGATCCAGGAAATGGAACTATACGGGTCTTCACACCGGCGAAGGTCTCTAGATCCATGGAACTGGATTTATCCTCTTGGATGGAACCAATAGGAAGCATCTACCGTTCTAGGCAATGGCCACTACGGGTTTAGTGCTTTCTCTGACTACCGTACTTGAATAATATCTTAAATCCCGCCCATTCCCTATTCCCCAGGCGCTGTACAACCCTACAGGTTTAGCGCTTCCTCATCAATTTAACTACAACAAAAAAGAGGAGCATTGACGAAGGGCTACTGGCCCATGTTAGGCAGGTCCAAGTCACATGAATGACCCACACGAGTTTTGTGCTATTTTGTGACTAATCTAAATTACTAAGTTGAAGAAAGTTTGGTTTTACTGAAGGAGACGGAATGACATCCTGTGTCACGATTGTTTGTAATTCGACATAGCGTCCGCAAATCTCACTTCACCCAACATAAACTCTAATCTAGCCTAACTTTACCTTTTAAAAATCGCTAACTTTAGGACCCCAATGGAATAAGCAACAATGCCTAGTTATGACATGAATGGGAATACCTCAAGAAAAGCTGCGTAGTTGTGACAGTAGATGGTAAGGAAATGCCTCAATAACTGACAGTTGGTTTGGGAATACCGCAAGCAACGGATGCCTAACTGACAGTGTGGAAACACTTGTCCTGTTTCCTGACGAACCTTACCTAACCTGTGACAGATGTATGGGAATACCTCAAAATGGCTTAACTGACAATTTATAGTGCGGGAATGCCTCAAGCAACAATGTCTAGTTGTGACAGATGGATGGGAATACCTTAAACAAAACAGCTTAACTGACAGTTGGTGTGGAAATACCTCAATCAACACTACCTAGATGTGGGAATACCAAACCCAACACTACCTAGTAGTTGTGACAGTAGATAGTATAAGAATACCAACCAGCTGTAGGTGAAGACACAAAAGCAATAACTGGAAACATTATTCAATATTTCGCCCGGAAAAAGTCTACTATAGAGGCGAAACTTAAAAACTTTATTATCAAGTGGTGTATAGAGACAACGTGAGCAAACAACAGTATTACCCATAGACCCCTAGCTGTCTTCCAAGGAAACCCAGACAGATTCCTAAAATCAGTACCTGAAAAGCTAGGCTGGCGTTCATACGTTGGATTGCTTACAGCCAACAGTAATAGCCTGGTTGATCAGGCCTTGATCCACCTGGAGGCCCGGTCATGGACCGGGCCGAAGGGACGATCCCCGAAACACCCTCCAGGTTGACGTAAATTATTTGCAACTATTGTCTCAGACTAGAACAAGACTCAGCTTCCACCTTATTAAGAACATGAGAACATAAAAAAGAAGGAACACTGCAGCAGGCCTACTGGCCCATGCGAGGCAGGTCCAAATCTTCTACCGGCTTAAGCCAATGCCCCATCCTAGTCAGGTCAGGTCACATTCACTTAAGGAAGGAGCACGGCATCTGACCCAGTAGCACAAGCTAGTCAGGCCCAACTCGCACCCACTCATGTATTTATCTAACCTATTTTTAAAACTGTACTCTGGAGTTTGTTCCACTCATCCACAACTCTATTACCAAACCAGTGCTTTCTTATATCCTTCCTGAATCTGATTTTTTTTCCAACTTAAGCCATTGCCTACATGTCAGGATTCGTCAAATCTTTTTATCAGACTTGAAAAGGCCTGCAGCGCAGGGTTTCGTAGTCTATGTTTCCAACCCTTGATTATGTCTATATAATAACCATGTGTCAGTGTTCCTATATCGTCTGCTATAAGAATAAGATGGACCCGGCTTAAGGAGAAAGGGAGATGTAGATTCTTCCGTGGTTCGTAAAAAAACAAGGGACAAGGATAAAAGAGCATTGCAGTTATAACAGAATAGAGGAACACCACAGTAGATACTGAAAGTCGGTGCCGGATCAGCCGGGCTGTGGTTCGTACGTTGGACAACGTGCGGCCAGTAGTAACAGCTTGGTTGATGAAGCCCTGATCCATCGGGAGGCCTGGTCGCGGACCGGCTGCGAGGGCGTTGATCCCAGGAATACACTCCAGGTAGACATTTTGCTCCATTTTAGGCAGGTCTTCAATTCGAACCCTTCTCACTCGTATTTGCATTAATAAAACGAAAACCATCGTTTTGATTTTTTTTCCATAGATACCCTCAGCATCCTATTTATACCTATTTATATTTGTTTTCCATTTGTATACCTTAATCATATTTTCACTCATTTTACGCCTTTCAGGAGAGCACAGATTCAGGAATATCAAGTTATTTTCATAAGGAAGATTTATATAGTGGATTAAGATTAAGTTTGTCATGGTTCTCTGTAGTAGTATTCGTGTATAGTGCAGTATGGAGACCAGAACTGTCCTCACAGTCTAAATGAAGCCTTACGATGTATGTAGCTAGGAATGTAGATGAATGGTTCAGAGAACCGACATGTTGATAAATTAGACACATGTGCAACTCTTGGGTATCTTTATTGAGGAAACGTTTCGCCACACAGTGGCTTCATCAGTCCATACATAAGAACGAAGGAACACTGCAGAAGGCCTACTGGCCCATGCGAGGCAGGTCCAAGTCTCCTACCGGCTTAAGCCAATGCACCCAACCTAGTCAGGTCAGGTCACATTGACTTAAGAGAGGAACACGGCAACCGACCTGGTAGCACAAGCTATCAGGTCCAACTCACACCCACCCACATCCACTCATGTATTTATCCAACCCACCTTTAAAGCTACACAACGTTCTGGCCTCTATAACGGCACTTGGGAGTTTGTTCCACTCATCCACAACTCTATTACCAAACCAGTACTTTCCTATATCCTTCCTGAATCTGAATTTTTCCAACTTAAAACCATTGCTGCGAGTCCTGTCTAGGCTAGATAATTTCAGCACACTATTTACATCCCCTTTATTTATTCCTGTCTTCCATTTATACACCTCAATCATATCCCCCCTAATTCTACGTCTTTCTAGAGAGTGCAGATTCAGGGCCCTTAGTCTATCCTCAAAGGGAAGGTTTCTGATACATGGGATCAACTTTGTCATCCTCCTTTGTACATTTTACAGAGAATTTATATCCATTCTGTAATACGGTGACCAAAACTGTGCAGCATAATCTAAATGAGGCCTAACCAAGGATGTATAGAGTTGAAGAACAACCTGAGGACTCCTATTATTTATGCTTCTTGATATGAAGCCAAGGATTCTATTAGCTTTATTGCGAACACTTATGCACTGTTGTCTTGGTTTCAGATTACTGCTAACCAGAACTCCTAAATCTTTTTCGCAATCCGTAATATTAAGATCTACATTATTTAGTTTATATGTGGCATGGTTATTGTCCTGTCCAACATTTAGAACTTTGCATTTGTCTATATTAAACTGCATCTGCCACCTCTCCGACCACTGCATCAGTCTATTCAAATCCTCCTGGAGTGCTCTAATGTCCTCGTCAGAATGAATTCGACGGCCTATTTTGGTGTCATCGGCAAACTTGCTGATGTCGCTCTTTATGCCCTCATCTATGTCGTTTATGTATATTGTGAACAGCAGGGGGCCCAACACTGACCCCTATGGAACACCGCTCGTGACGCTTCCCCACTCTGATTTCTCCCCATTTATGCAAACTCTGCTGCCTATTTGTCAACCATGCCTCTATCCAGGAAAAAATTTCTCCTCCTATTCCATGTGCCTTAATTTTCCTCAATAATCTCTGATGTGGGACCCTGTCAAAAGCCTTACTGAAGTCCATATACACAATATCATATTCATTACCATGATCTACCTCCTCAAATACCTTAGTGAAAAAAGTTAATAAATTCGTAAGGCAGGAACGCCCCTTTGTAAAACCATGCTGAGATTCGTTGATTAATTTATGCTTTTCAAGGTGGCTACGAACTGCCTCGGCAATTATTGATTCCATAAATTTTCTCACTATGGAGGTTAGGCTTACTGGTCTATAGTTCGAAGCTAAGGACCTGTCACCTGCTTTGAAAATAGGTATCACATTTGCTATTTTCCACTTATCCGGCACCATGCCAGTTTGTAGTGATATGTTGAAAAGATTAGCCAAAGGTTTGCTAAGCTCCTCTTTACATTCCTTTAGAACCCTTGCATACAGTTCATCAGGGCCTGGGGATTTGTTAGGCTTTAATTTATCTATTTGCCTAAGAACCATGTCACTTGTGACCCTAATCGTGCAGTTTATTATCGTCCTGTTCCACATAATTTATCATTTCTGGAATATCGCTGGTATCCTCCTGTGTAAAAACTGAGAGGAAGTATGTGTTAAAACTTCTACACATTTCCTTATCACTGTCAGTGAGCTGACCCGAGGAACTTTTGAGTGGGCCTATCTTGTCCCTGATCTTACTTCTGTATACCTGAAAGAATCCTTTTGAGTTAGTCTTCGATTCTCTTGCAACTTTAACCTC